AACAAGGTGGTGAATTCCCCGTTATTCCCACGGGGGAAAGTTCCATCAGTACTAACGTCATCAAAGTGAACGCTCAGCTTCTTTGCTAACACGGCCAGAGGGCGACGATGAGGAAACACCTAATCGTTGGACATGAACAGCCTCGGATGGAATTCACCGCCGCAGTGAGGACCTATGTAGTAGGCAAACGCGGGAGCACCCTCTACACTGAAACACGCCTCATCCCGCTCCCTTAGAGGGCCTAACTTCCAGTAGATATATTTTTCTTTCAGTTCCTCTAACTTAACTCCTACCTCTGAACCAGTTTGGAGAAGATTGGTTGCGATAACATCCTCTATCATTATACACAGATATCCTTTTTGTGCACGTACAGCCCCTTCACGAGGAGCTGACCCAACAAAAGCAAGCATAGTGGAAGGCATGCGCTGAGTAGGGAGGTTTTGGCGGTTGCCGAGAGGCAGAAGTAGTGCCTGTTATAATTTAGAAAGTTTATTAGTGCTCTCAGCCGATATTAATAATTTAAGGCATAGTAATAGAAGGAAGGATAAATTACAACTTTACATCCCTAACTGTGAAATCAGTGACAATATACTTATAGTGCAATCGATATGTAACAATACCAGTACCTGTCTGTTTAATACACGGAGATCTCATATTCAAGAGCATTTTCAGACCTTCAGCACCAAGTAGTTATTATTGCGGAAGTAAGCAATTTTGAAGGGTAAAATCCGGTTGTGCTTGTGTTGTCTCGCTGCTTCGTCGAACAAATCGCAATTGGAAACACGGTCGATATTCTCGGGATCTTCTTCATCCCACATACCTCTGTACGCACAGTAGGGCCTGAAAGCAGTAACACTGAAGCTATAAATGGGGCGTCATGCGATAAGAGAAGAATTTCGTCTGACAGGTAAGCTACAAGATCCCAATCGGATCTACACTGAAGGTTTATGAGATTCGTACCAATAACCATTGCCAACACAAAAACGCACCCAATCACTGGTTCTCATCAACGGCTCTTATTTTTGTCATCCAGTTGCCTCAACTTTTCATCTTCGGTAGACTACAAGAGTCGAAGTGGTCCAGTGATAAGTGGCGCTGCGTACTTCAAGTACAAGGTGCGCAGATTCGAGTCCCTAAGTCGAGGTTCGCCCAGGCCAACCTCCATTTTCTGATTTGTTCTGTTGGCTGCTACAAAAATTGTATCAGAAGATACAGATGCGCTGACTCGACTGGCTCCCGCAAGCAATTGTATGGGTCAAATATATTCACGATTTTCACTGCTGACCACAATCTACGTGTTCTCAAAAGCGCAGCGCTGCTCAAAACTCTTAACTATTGGGTTGTCTCATAATTCCTGTCGCAATTTCGACACTTTTGTTTATCCAAGTTTTATCTCTTCTAGGAAACAACTGATCAATGCATAACCACCATCATGGTCACTGATATGCGTGCATTTGCTAGTGAGCGTTTGGAAGCTTCCAGCCCAGAATGAAGGAAGCTGGGGGTTGAAGAATTTGGAGAAGTCGTTTTTGGGGTGGTCGCAATCTTTAACTTTCTTCTCTGGCAGATGCTTATTCAAAGCGCAGGGGAGGCGATAGTCCGATAGAGCGATGCCAATGCTATATGGTGGATGAGGTATCGTGGCCCTGGCTATCTCCCTCAGAACGTGGTGAGTTGGCATTGCAATGTGAGGTCTGGTGTACATTCGGAGGAAGGAGGATCTGAGACGTTTCTGACGATTCTCTCGCAACCCCAAAGCCAGCCAAGAGGGCTATTCCGCGCTGACTTTAGCAATGCTTGTCTTCATACATTGAAGTGGTTCCCAAACCAGGCCACCTAGCGAATCCAACAAAACGAGAGCGATATTCTCAGAAAACGGAGTTCGGGCTTTGGTTGAGCTGGTGCTTCCTGGCTGCGAGGCAGCCATCAGACGTGCCGCATGTTGTTGTCGCAGTGGACTCATGACTCATTTCCACTGGTGACCGATTAGGGAAGGCTCTGCTTTTGCCGTCCCAGAATGGATTTTCCCCAGATGGTCAGGCGTGCTTCCCGCTCATGGTCGGCCGGACCATAAGGTTTCCATCAAACTTCATTCTGCAGCAGTCCTTGCCATACTGATGGCGTGTGCTGGTGCATCGGCTGCGCTCAGGTATCTGCTACAATACCCTGGTAGCAACGTGCGGAGGCACTCCCAATTTAGGGTGCAAGGGGCGCTCATCAAAAATGACCGCAGGCCCAGTATGAGGTTGAAGTTCATAGCTCGTTTCGTCTTTGCCGTTGCGATTGGACCACTAGCTCAGTACCCTATCAGTAGCAGAGACTGGGTCAAACACAGCGCTGATCTTCTCTGTTGTCCTCCTTGCTACAGAGTTCATTTGAGGATCGTAAAGCATAATCATTGATTGCAGTCACTGACCTATTTTTATTACTAGTTGATTAACCCGTTAAGGGCTTGCGCTTCCGAAACCATGCTGTTAAGGCTCTTGAAGCATACTTCAACATACTAACGTATTTCGCAATGAAACGGTCTTAGACGGAAGAAATTTGAAATTGAATAGAAATGAGACAGGAATTATGAGACAACCCAATAGCCTGGAGCTTTTTCCTCTATCGTTAATTCACGGCTCACTTAGCTAGGTCTATTTCACACCCAGCACGGTCACGTGAACCGAGTAGGAAATGAACGGCATGTAAAATCCACGATCCGTGAGGATCTTTAACATAGAATTCTACGAAATTCGCATTAGTGGTCAATTTGATCCCATTCTTTTACCGGTGGATCACCGGTAGCCTTGCAGAATTCACCATCAGATTTGGAGTCACTTATAGTATCTTTTAGAAGTTGCACCACTAAAACTTTTTGCTCTTTCCCTCAGGTCTCATATCACAAGATTTAGCCATAAGAACTATCAGAAAGCAACTGCGAACCAAAGGAGGGAAGTTTCTTTCGATCCCTCAAGAAGACTTCTGAAGAGACTAATCTCAGGACTCTGAATAGAATCGACGAAAGCAACGGGGGGTTAACCTCTCACAATGGAGATAGAAAAGAAACAACTCGCCGTACAGGAGAGCTGCTAGAAAGAAAAAGCGATTCGCCTCACAGGGAAGCAGTTGGAACTCTCCACGGAGCTCGCTCCATGTGAAGAACTTCCTCAATTCTTGAAACATCAAAAGAACATCTGGAGTAAGTTAAATATCATAGAAGTGCTGTCGCGCGTATTCCCTATACTCGCCGTAATACCAAGGCCAACGCCATTTTTCATTTGCGAGCGAAGCATCACGCCAATACAATCGCGACGCTGCCTCCTCAAGTGAGAGTAATGCACCGAACACTGTACCTTTCCAAGTCCGGTGCGCAGTTCATCAGTTGGAAGACGAAATAGTTGACTCCTAGTTGTTTCAATGTCTCGTGTAATTCGTTTATGGGCTTCTTACTGAACATCGAATACAGCAGCTTAGTCCGATTCCTGAAAACATGGAGTAATTTTCAAAGTCGTCTTGCGTGAAATGGCTTAGCCTGAAATGGACCACAAGTGGGTGTTGGAAATGAACTTATTCGAAGACACATTCCACAATATGGGACTCGTCAAACTAGAGGAAATGCAGCTAAGCATTGGAAAAGGCATCACGACGATGAAAGGCGGCTGAGGAACGACCATGTTATTATAGATATTATAGATCGTGACCGCTGCCAACTCCGCCATCAGTGAGAGCTCTGCCCTTGATCGCGTCTCGCTCGTGCCTATATGTACTTGCGCAAATTTTCAGTGGCCCTCATCCTCTCGTCGTCAGTTTCTCGCATGACACTGCCCCCCTTATGCAATGCTCCAAATCGAAGTTAAATTTGGGGCCTTTTGGAGCGTTCTCGATATCATTTTTGCATATCCCACTACCAACGTCCTGTTATCGTGGAATATGCTTTTGACTTATTCCTCAACGGACTCTCATGGTCGGGCAACGTACTGAGCTTTTCCAATACAACAGCCTACGTGCCGACCCTTAGTAAGGACAGATCTATGCCAGTGAAATATAAACAGCAGACGATATGATTGACCTCCCCACCTGCACTGCGACTGGCCACGCCCTCTCACATAACTGTGCGATATTACCGCGATCAAGGTCGAAAAGTGTAGTGAGCTTCAACGATTCGCCCATCCACCTGCACATCCGTCCACGCGAAGCCAGCGTCATGAAATTAACCTTTATCAAGCACCATAAGCCAAAGCGTCAGCCCCTTATCGAGTAACATGTAACGCGACCTGGCTATTTTGGTTTTCTTATAACATTATCCATTCGACCAAAGGCATTCCTGCTCTGATTAGCCTATATTCTCTTCGTCATTTTGAGCTGTTTGATCGAATGTTACGATTTATACTCTGAAGTCGAAAACTTTAAGTGAATGCTCGGCCGCCGAACCGCTGGTCCCAAAACGAACCGTTCTTCTAACGATCACACTATCATTACGGACCCCATTTCGTAATAGCGCATTCGGCGCAATCAGACGGAACCATTAGCGATTACGCCACATGTATTCGCTTATACGAGTCGGATGTTGACTCGCCATGAAGTAGCTGAACTACCACACCCTAAATTATTTGAAAATTTTGTGTAATGTACAGATATGACCTAATAGTAAACGACGGTGTGGACAGCAAGCTTCAGTGGGAAAACCATTCACTGAAAAGGGATCGTAAGACATATAACCTTTCGTCAAAGTTAAGACCTGTGATTCCGGCTCATCCCTCCACCATGCACGAAGAGGCGAAGGAGGATGATGTAAGACAATGGAGAACTTCTCAAACCAAAAGAAGGGTCAGATAAGAGTGAACAAAACAAGTACAAATCTGATAGCGGGACTAGATTCTTGAAGAAAACAGTTCCTCCATATCCTGCATCATTTTACTCTATCAAATGCCGGCTGTACACCCTGTACATATTTTTTGAACAGTCTATATAAGGACGAATTCATGCTAAAAATAACGAAGGTCTACAGAAGAGCTGGCCTAGTTGGTTATACATAGCGACACTCCTGAAGGTGCTCGATGACAACGGAGTATTGGCCATCGGAACATATTAGGTCCTCCGGTAGCTCCTCAAGCTCAGTCTTTGGGGCGCAGGTAGAGCGGTGTACCGTCCCGACCATCTATACCGTGGCGCGCAGGTTCTGTACGTGCGAGTGTAAGAACAGGCAGCTAGCACAACAGTGTTGAAGAGGAACCAGGTCAACGAGTGGCATTCAATGCACAAATGCAAAGTGCAAGGAAGGGGTCTCAATTATTACGGTTTGATGGGTCATTTTCACTCTTCAGTTATTCTTTCTTCTTCTCGTTCGCATTTTGACTCGCTAATTTGACTTTAAAGAACGCGTTTTTTTCACGTTGATTCCGTCCTAATGAACCGAACGAACGATAAAACAGATTCAATTACAACAATAAATGTTACTTGTTCGTATAAGACTGAATCCACTTCTTATTGGCACCGAAGTGCAGAGCCAACCCAGTATTGGCGCCGTGCAGAACATTTCAGTCGCCATCAATCAAACAAGGCCGCCATCACTGCTACACAGGCCTCTGGCACACCATTGTAGACAAAATCTCGGAAGAACTCCACTTTACTGTAATTTCAGATTAGCCATCTTTTGATTTCACTTCACATCTTAGTACATAATCTCAACAGAAAAATCGAACGATGGCAGGATCATTCATACAACGATATCCTTCCATAATGCAAGGCACATATTTTCTTTCCCATCTCGAAAGAAAAGAGCAATAAATTATGCATATCCAAGCTGAATCATTCTCGGAAAACGATCGCTGCTCCTTTTTGAAGTGGTGGGAAGTCCGCTCCTCCACAGTGTAGACTCACTGGGAAGTGCTCCCCCTTCTGACTGAGCCGGCCTGATCGCCGGACATTACGATATGCACGGCGAACAGCCCCGGAAACAGGCCGGCCTACGAACACCCACGTCACATCACAAATGTCATGTCGCTATATGATTCTCGAGATAATGCTACGGCGTCCGCGGGAGCCGACGCGCACTCGCAAAGCCCGGCGAGTGTGAAAAGTATGCGAGGGTCTCCGGTGCAAGGACGGCATCGGGGGGCAACTAGGCTAGTCCAAAAGTCCCGCAACGTATGGCAAGACTCGCGTCGCAACGTTGAATGTTGGCACGTTGTCGGGCCGCTCTTTTGAGTTGGTAGAGACACTGGAGCGCAGACGAATTGATCTCTGTGCTGTGCAAGAAACGAGGTGGTCCTGCTGCAAATCGAAGGACCTTGGCCGTGGCTTCAAAGCCATTCTTTGCGGCAGTCCCGGGACAACTAACGGTGTCGGTGTTATCGTTTCTGAACGTTTCCGTGACTCGATTGTCAGCGTTGAACGTTACGATGACCGCCTAATGAAGATCGTTGTCGCTTTTGAGCAACGTCAATATCACTTCTTCTCTGCGTACGCTCCGCAGACAGGCTGCTCCGAACACGCCAAGGACCAGTTCTGGGCCTTGCTGGATGACAAAACAGCTGATGTACCATCGCAGGATGCCCTAATTGTTGCCGGTGACCTAAATGGTCACGTGGGGGCTACGAAAGATGGTTACAGCTGTCATGGCGGATTTGGGTATGGGTCACGAAACGCCGATGGCGAGAGAATTCTAGAGTATGCAAACTCGCACAACCTCACCATCGTGAACACAAACTATCGCAAACGTGACTCCCACCTCATCTCGTTTTACAGTGGGGATACCAGAACGCAAATTGATTTTGTCCTCGTCAGGCAGCGTGATAGAGGGCTAGTGACGGACGCGAAGACGGTGCCGTACGAGACGGTCGCCACGCAACACCGACCACTGATCTGCACCCTGAAGGATCACTCCTCCGAAAGTAAAGCAAGTTGAACGGTGCGGGCCTGCAAGGATCAAGTGGTGGCGACTGAAAGAAAAAGAATCTGCACTGTTTTCCCGCATTCGCTTACCGACAGTAACGACCGTCGACGAAACGTGGGAAAGTGCCACCGAAGCGATAGTCCGTGTCGCTCGCTCCGAACTCGGCACCACAAAGCCTGGGCGTCGGAAAATTGACAAACAAACATGGCTGTGGACGGATACTGTCAAGGAAAAACTGCGAGAGAAGAAAAGATTCTATCATACGTTCCTCAACGACAAAACAGCCGAGAACTGGGAGAACTACCAGAAGGCGAAGAAGGCTGCAAAGAAAGCCGTGGCTATCGTCAAAGCTGCTCACTTCGCCAGCGTTAGCGAGAAACTCGAGACGCGCGATGGCGAACGATATGTCTACAGACTAGCCAAAGCTCGCCATCGCCAAACCGAGGATGTCGAGAAGTTTTTCGGCATTAATGACGAGAACGGGCGGCTCCTAATGGACCGCAAGAAGGCAGTAAAGCGATGGCACGACTACTTCGAAAGAATCTCGACAGTAGAATTCTCACATCCGCCAATCCCTTCTGCCCCTCCCGTCTACGGTCCCGTCTCGAAGATAACTGTGGAAGAAACTGAAGCGGCGCTGAAGAAGATGAAGACAGGTAAAGCAACGGGTCCCGACGACTTGGCAGCCGATCTGTGGAAGTCACAGTGCTGGCATCCTGCGGAGTGGTTGACGAAGTTCTTCAACCAAGTTGTTGCAGAAAAGAAAGTGCCTGCGAGTTGGTGCCAGAGCACGACGATTCCCATCTGGAAAAAGAAGGGCAGCCCCGCAGACTGCACGAGCTACCGTCCAATTCGTCTACTTTCCCACGCCATGAAGATATTTGAGCGAATTATAGATCGTCGTATTCGCGACATAGTGCAGCTCGCCACGAACCAGTGTGGATTTGTAAGCGGCGTTAGTACCATCGATGCCTACATGCCGCTCGTCTACTGTTAGAAAAACACCGCGAGAAACGGAAGCCTCTGCATTTTGCCTTCCTAGACTTAGAAAAGGCTTTCGATCGCGTTCCGCGTGATGTAATATGGTACGCTCTGAGACAACGTGGCGTCCCCGAAGAACTTATTGAGTGGGTTCGCATGCTATACTCGAGCTCAAAGAGCCGAGTGCAAACGTCAGCAGGAACCTCAATGGAATTCCCCATCTCTGTAGGGGTGCACCAAGGCTCTGCACTATCCCCACTCCTTTTCGTTGTCGTCATGGATGCCATATCACGAGACCTCCAGAAACCGGCTCCATGGACGCTCCTCTATGCCGATGACGTGATGCTCGCCTGCGAAGACAAAAACTCACTCGAGCAGCAAGTGCAAGCTTGGGCCGATCGCCTAGCGATGTTCGGACTCAGGTTGAATGTCAAAAAGACCGAGTACTTGACAACCGACTTGAGCGAACACAGTTCGGTAAGAATTAACGGCACAGAGCTATCACGCACGACCACGTTCAAGTATCTTGGATCGGTAATAGCGTCAGATGGTAGTATGGGTACTGAAGTGAGTTCACGCGT